TCAGTATAAAAAAATTATTAAAGACATCATATATAAAATGTTTGTAATATCCCAATAAGTAGAACAATAAGGTTTTCGGACGTTTTGCGACTCAATGTAAGCCAATTTTTCAAGGAGTAAACAAACAAACTAAATTAACCCAAGTTTAATTAATGGTCACCGGCTACGATGGGACGTCATCTTCTCACGATGCTCCACTACCTTGTGGGTTAGACCTTTAGGTCAAAGGCTCAGGGTGTGGCCCACTAAGAAAACCACCTGCTTCGGTCTGGGCACCTGAAGAGTATCACAGCCCACACATAAAAAATGACGAACTGTATATTTATGGAAAATATTCTTCTTGCTCTGAATAACAATCAAATGACTCACATTATTATTATTATTATTATTATTATTATTATTTACTACGTCATTTATCCACTCTCTTTTATTCCCACTTTATGCATCCTTATATTTCGATTTATACAGCAGCTCGCCTATGATGGAAACTCGGTTCTATATAAACGTTCTCGAGTCACTGCCTCGTTGCAAATTGTATTCCACCACCGAATACGAGTACTGAAGCAGTTTTTCTGAAACCACGTACGCCATTCAAACTGGCTACTTTCAACGTTCGCACACTTATGCAGGTTGGTCAACAGATAGGGCTGGCTATGGTCTTTGGAAAGTCTTCATATCGATGTTTGCTGTCTATCCGAGACCCGTATTCAAGACTCTGGTGAAGTACTACACATCCGCTCTTCATCTGTCGCTTCGAAAAGCTTGTTTTACGTGCGCTTATCAAGGGACCCTGTGGCATCCTCGTCTGGTCTTGCTAGCGTTGGTGTCACACTAAGCGCTAGAGCTGAGGCAGTACTAATCGATTGGATCTCCATTAACAGTCGGTTATGTGCTGTTAGATTAGAAAGTTTCATCAAAGAGAGAAGAAATCGGCGTGAGAAATGATGTCTTTTCGTCATCTCCGCCTATGAAACCAAAGATCACAGCTAGGGTGCAATCAAGGATGAATTCTACCACCAGTTGTTAACTGTTCTCCAGAAAGTGCGTTCGACAGATATTGTAGTACTAGCCGAAGACTTGAATGCTCAGGTCGGGCGTCTAGGCACAAAAGAGAGTCGTTTAGGGGGCCGATGGGGACTTGTTGGTTGCAGGACAGATAACGGGGACCGTCTACTGCAACTGTGCACAGACCACAACCTGTTTCTGGCTAGCACTAACTTTCGGCACAGTCATCGCCGATGTGCCACCTGGCATCCTCCCTCTGCATCCCAAGCCTGGACTCAGATTGATCACATCGCGATCAGGTACAGCTGGCGTGGTTGTGTAAAAGACTGCCGCTCCTTTTGGAGTACCTATCTGGACTCTGACCATGCCTTGGTCTGCGCCAATCTTGCCTTACTTTTCAGTGGCCAACGAAGTGACCGCCAGCAAAGGATTGATATTAGCAAGCTGGTTGCAACTTCTGTTGCAAATAAGTATCGAACCGAGTTAGCTTCTAGGCTAGCTACTATCCCACCGAAAAGTATAGATGAGCATTGGTTGCAATTACATGACGCCATGAAAATGGAAAGCGAAGAGAGTTGTGGGTTCGCTAAACGAACCGCTTATATGCACTGAGTTTCTTCAGGCTCCTCACAACTTATCAAAGCCTGTCGATCTACTCCGGGTGACCATGAGTTTGAACACAAACGAAGGATGTGACGGAATGAAATCGGGCAAAGCTTGCGTAAGGACCGAGAAGACTGGTGGTCGGAGCATGCTAAAGAGCTGGGAGCAGCAGCTGCATCTGGTAACTACCAGAAGCTCTTCCAACTCATCCGAGACACTGGCAGCAAGAAGTCTGGTGTGAGCAAAACAATCTGCAAAGATGATGGGATGCCAATCACTAACATCCATCGACGTCTTGGACGATGGGCAGAATTTTTCGAATGGCAGTTCAACTGGCCTGCTGCTCCGGCAACATCGGTCAGACTATCCTGCCCTCCATGGCCGGTGACGACTGATCCACCAAATGAGGTGGAACTCCAACTCTTGAAGCGCTACAAATCACCTGGCCCAGATGACTTACCTCCGGCTCTTTTTAAAGATGGTGATGACATTCTGACTACGGAACTGACGACGTTGTTTATAAAGGTTTGGGAACTAGAGTGTACCAACGTCATGAAATGAATCGATAGTTGTACCTATCTTTAAAAGCGGTTCACGTCGTTTCTGTAACAACTATCGGAGGATAAGTCTACTTCCGATTGCGTCCAAGCTATTGGCTTCCGTCATACTTCGTAGGTTGTTCAAAACCCGAGAAAGATTGACTCGCGAGGAGCAGGCTGGTTTTCGTTCTGGTCGAGGATGTATTGATCATATCTTCACCCTCCGCCAAATGTTAGAACACCGCCATACTTATCAAAGGCCAACAATCGTAGTGTTTCTTGACATCAGGGCTGCCTTCGATTCGTTGGACAGAACTGTTCTCTGGGATTGTCTATTGAAGAAGGGTATGCCTGAGAAGTTTATTAACATCCTAAATGCCCTATACACAAACACCTCAGGCAGAGTGAGGGCATACAACCACCTCTCTCCATTGTTCCATTCGAGCAGTGGGGTTAGGCAGGGTTGCCCAGTCTCACCATTCCTCTTCAACTTTGCCATCGATGACATTCTGGAAAAAGCTTTGATGGATGTAAGTAATGGTGGTGTGGATCTGTTGCCTGGAGAAAGACTTCTCGACCCTGAGTATGCGGATGATATTGTCTTACTGTGCGATAATGCACAAGGCATGCAATCCGCACTTAATCAGTTGGCAATCAGTGTCCGTAGGTATGGTATGTGCTTTGCACCTTCGAAGTGCAAAGTACTCCTACAAGACTGGCAGGATTCCAATCCTGTACTCACCCTGGATGGTGAGCAGATAGACGTAGTTGAGAAGTTCGTGTATCTGGGTAGCTGCATAAGTGCTGGTGGGGGTGTGAGTGATGAGATCAATGCACGTATAGTGAAAGCCAGAGTGGCCTATGCCAATCTGGGCCATCTTTGGCGCCTTCGTGATGTTAGTCTGGCTATAAAAGGTCGGATCTACAACGCGTCGGTGAGAGCAGTTTTGCTCTATGCTTGTGAAATCTGGCCTTTCCCAGTTAAGGACGTTAGACGACTCTCTGTGTTCGATCATCGCTGTCTCCGAAGGATTGCTGACATTCAGTGGCAACACCATGTTAGTAATGCAGAGGTTCGGCATCGTGTGTTCGGGCACAAAGATGATAATGCAATTGGTTTTACCATCTTGAAACACCGACTTCGGCGGCTTGGACATGTTCTCCGAATGTCATCCCAGAGAATTCCACGTCGTGCATTATTTGCCGACTCTGGGACTGGTTGAAAGAAGCGGAGAGGTGCTCAGTATATGACATGGTGTCGTGGCATGAAAGAAAGCTGCAAAGGACTGGCTTGTGTTGGTCCCTCACGATTCCCTGGCTGAGGTCCGAGATATGGTGCTACACAGTGGCTAGAGACGTTATCAGATATGGCTCAGAATAGAAGCCAGTGACGGTCCTGCTATAACCTTTTACTTTCTTCATAAAATGTGGTTGTATCTTCTTTAACTGAAAGATTTCTTCTGATTGTACCTTTTCGTTTCCCCTATTAATACTATTATTATTATTAGATTACCTTCCACTAATCTGTTCGTTATTGTTCTTTTTTTACGCTCTTCACCTTTTTTCCTTCTCCTCTTTAAAATCTCATTGTTTTGTGTGGCGCATATATATTTGGTGCCCTCTTGTACCAATATTTATGTGTTCAAACAGTAAAATAAAGTGGTACTTTGAAGAAGTGGCTTACATGAAGTCATGAAGCGTCAGAAATGTAATTTTCTACTCACTTGGACATTACAAATATATAATTTTTTATTTATAACTGTTATCTCCAGACAAGAATAATGAATGGTAACTTTTGGGATCCATTTATGGACCAATAATAAACGTATATTTCTACTGTATAATTATTAACTGACTAAACTATGCATATTATATTCCTCTTATTATAAGCTTTACTTTGACCCATAAATTATTATTATACATTTTACCATTCTTGAGTTATACCCAGTATATTAATAACTACCTCCCTCATTCACAGCTATATCTGGCTAATTCTTTCACAAATGTTGTTTCATATTTTATTGGTACGATGTGGTCTGTCTGATTGGTTTATAAACCGAATATGTTTGAAATAGATAATTCATATCGCAGAGGCTCGGATTTGTGTTCTGTACTTAACTAACTGGGCTAGGCAAGAAGTAGGACCAATAAGGAATCTAAACTGCTCATACGGGTTTACGCGTCATTGACCCGATCGATAAGTCACTGCTCTCTCATTGGCGGCACAAGTTATAACAATAACAAACTACCCAATGCTCAATTTATTTGAAATTGTCAATTCAAACGTTGGCAATGATACTTATTAAAGACAAGATGCAAAAAAACAAACAAAGCATTTACTTGATGGATACAAACGTTTTTTTGTAATTTCGGTAAGATTATTAACTATCATTCATAATGATATAAGTCATTGGTTTATTCGACTAGTTAGTTAATGAAAAGAGAGTATGAAGTTGAAACTGAAATTCTGATTCGTAATAATCAAACAAGATTTTGTATAAATCGAATTAATATCGTGTAGTACTTAAGTTTAATTTAATCACTATCGAAATATGTTTGTTTTTTCAATTTACAATTACAATAAATCTAAATGTTCATTTGATATTTCTTAAAAATAGGAAAAAAGTTTTTTATTTCTTATGTTTACTCACAGCTAAAATCACATCATTATGATGGTAATAGCAACAATGATTTTACATTTTATCATTTATTGGGAAAAAAAGACTTACATTATAGTAAGTTGAATTTGGTTGTTTAATTACAGCACCAAATGGTTTTCCTAATGGTGCTGTATCAAATAAAATTTTCGGCACAAAACTGAATTCTTCATTGAAAAAATATGGAGCAACTGTTCCGGGAGAGACCTTTTGTCGCTAGATGGTATTTTAAAAAAAGTAAATACAAATTTTTTTAAAATACCTGTAAGACTTAGAACCGAATACATAATACTTGTGAAATATCACGATAATATCAACGTAAATAAGGATAATTTGTGCAGTTTGTTGAAATTATATGCTTTATTTCACCGACTAATCTTAATTAAACAACTGTTGAAGATTAGGAAGTACTTAACAAACTATTTTACCATAGTATGAGACTCATATACGAAGATGAAACAGGTTTACATGGATTGTTGGTTTAGTGATAGTTGTCCGTGGTCTACAACTACTATGCAGTACTATAAATCGAAAGAAAATAAGAGTGAATATCATCCAATTCATTGAATTAGCCTATGAAAATAGTTGGTTAGATGTATTTATTTATTGACTTTTTAATAACTTGTTATTTTCATCCTTAATTATTCTTAATAATTTATCATTGCTGGAGATTTTATTTTCAGTGTATGTGAGCAAAAACTTTCATTGTACAAACAAAAGCAAGATGTTTTCTCTTTGCAAGTGCTTCCGCCAATTTTATGTCGTTTTTGATTGAATTTTAAAATTCAATCCTTTGATTAAATTATCTATCCATCTACTCCAAATTACCAATTATCAGTCACTTTAATGCATTTTATTAAGTAACAATTTCTAATGAAAAATTGACAGAACAGAGATTTTTACAATTTATTCTTATTTTGTACTAAACGAAGACATAGGTGGCGAAAACTAACTCACTATTTTAATGCGAAACTAAAAGGTGACTTCGTAAAACTATATATTAAATACAACCTTAGCATATCTTCCATCATTTGTCTCTTACAAACTTCGTCGTTCTTCCATTCTTGTTGTTATTAAAATTACTCTCTGTGTACATTCATATTCCCTTCAATTCAATCTTCTCAATCTTCTACTAACAGGCATTCAAATTCTGATTGATGTTATATGCTACTTATATATGTTAACATAAGAAGCACACATCACAAAGTGAAGGCGTCGTATGAACAATAAATACCAATAAAATTTAAGTGACAACACATTTTCACTGGCTTATAAAGCAGACTATTGTTTTAATGGAATCTGTATTTCATCTCATTAGATAAAGAAAACAAATATTTTAAAAAATTTTTTGTACAATGAAATTCTGGTTAGCAGTAAATTCCAGGATGTTCGACTTATCATCTGCAAGACTTATCAGCTTGATATATGTGAATTTTTGTGCTGATGTTCATACTGAAATATTTCAACAAATACTTATCACTTTAAACACCAACTTTATTTGCACGTTCAATAGGCATGAATTCATTTGTAAAATAATATATTCTTCCATAATTTTTATTAAAGGCTGTATTTGTTCCGTTTTTGCCTGGGAACACTGTAATAAAAATTTTTTAACCGAAACTTAAATTATAAGTGAGAACGTAGTAAATTAATATTTCAGAATTGTAATTTGTTTACAATTATAAATCATGTCTTACAGAAAAAGGAAGTGATTTAATTGAAAATACACAATTTAACCCATATTACTAATAATATCACACGATGACAAGTCATTTTCCAAGTTCATTTCAACTATAAAATCAAATGGTGATTATAGAATATTTTCAACTGAATTCACGAGTTGATCCAAGCTATACCCGCACGTGAGACTCGAACCCACTACGTTCGATTTTGCGCGTGAACTCTTGACCTCCAGACCACTGAGCAAACATTCAACAGCATCATTGTCTGACTTCAATCGATCACCATATTGATTATGGAATATTTGATAAACCTTTTAGGTCTATTTTTGATTAGACTGTGGAGATAGGCACGACAAAGTTATTTTGTAAATAGTTTTCGATATTATTCTCATTTATTTTGTTAATTCTCATAGTTTGTACATTTACACAAATGATTGTAAAAGTTGTTTAAGTGCATGACCTTGAACTCACACTTTTCCGTTTTGAACAGCTTATAGCATGACACACTTTGCTAACCGCTCATAAATACTCTGCTACACACACGTCTCTCGTTCTTAACTGCCTGTGATTATGATAATTAAACTATAAAAGTATCTGTTATCTATATTTGCAGACTACAACCATATTTCCATTATATACTACATCTGTGCTATATCACTTAAATTGCAACAACCTCATTGGAATTATTAATTAACTATAATTGTGGATTATGGAACCAAAAGCAGTTTGAACGCGCCAAAGCCTGCTGATTTAAGTAACATTCCATAACTTTTACATATATAAATAATAGATACTTTTATAGCTTAATTATCATAATCACAGGCAGTTAAGAACGAGAGACGTGTGTGTAGCAGAGTATTTATGAGCGGTTAGCAGAGTGTGTCATGCTATTAGCTGTTCAAAACGGAAAAGTGTGAGTTCAAGGTCATGCACTTAAACAACTTTTACAATCATTTGTGTAAATGTACAAACTATGAGAATTAACAAAATAAATGAGAATAATATCGAAAACTATTTACAAAATAACTTTGTCGTGCCTATCTCCACAGTCTAATCAAAGTACGATAAAAACTTACTTAATCTAGGAAAGAATTATATACATTAAAGTAATCCTTATTTTCAGGGAGTTTTTATAATTTGCACTTCAATCTGGATTATTCGATCTCTGAATCAAAGTCCTATTTACCTCATAACTTATAAATTATATCAACTTATGGTGTAATGAGTTGATTAGTTTGTGTGATCAATTTTTATTGGTTATCAGTTATGAATTATTTATTAATACAAGTTATAAGTTAAAATGTTTTTACGGTGTACAGTAATTAACTTCGAAACACTTTTTTTGTACTGTGTTTTATAAAGATGAACGGTTTATTTACAACAATAAATCGATAGCTTAGGTTGAGAGCGTCCAAATATTCGATAATAACTAAAGTCCACATTCATATAAATTTCTTCCCACTGAACTTCTACGTACAAAAATAAATTAGTCCAATAAATAATAATTTGCAAACAATGAAAAAACTATGATTTCGAAGGAAAGATTTTAATGACTGCATACGGAATCTCTATTAATCAAGAAGGATGAAGGTGAATTGTATTTGTATTGTCAATAATCAAAAAGCTGTCCAGTTTGTCAAAATAGCATTTCATGTACAACAAATCAGATATTTTTTCAGGTAGGATAAGTCATAAAATAAATTTAGTTGGAGTAAAACTGACACAACGATTGAAGTTGAAATTGTACTACACGATAATGGATCAGTTGTTATGACCTTCATACTTTCGAAGCAATACCCGAGGGTCATACATTTGATCTCCAGTGGAGTACGCGCGTACAGTTGCGGATGTTTACATAATTCATCAGTCCTTATTGGTTTCCAATGGTATTTCAAATAATTACTTACAAATCTCCACAAAACCTGCTTCAAATAAATCAAAAACTTACTAGTAAGGTTATTTAAAACTCAGAAATTTATAAATGGTACATTTCACTTGATTCTTGAGTGTTCCTGAAATGACTGAAAGATGTCAAAATTCGATTGCTTTACTTATTTTGAGTTTTGTTCAACATTACTTCCGTTATGATTTGATGTGATGATTATTCAATCTAGTTTTTGTTGTTTTCTCGTATGATATTTAATTCTGTATAATATACGATATTCTTGTATTCCATTGACATAAACTATGCTCAGTATGTGGTTTGTTATAACTGAGTATTTTTCATATATGTGATTTCACCCTAATTACTAATCAAAGTGTGCGTACAATCAATATATAGATGAGTGTATTTTCGATTAGGGTCGTCGTGGTGGTCGTGTTTTGGGGTTAATAAATCTTCATTTATACCAGTCTTTGTGTTTTTATTTTCGCGTCGTGGGAATTATGGAGGTCCCTTGTTCCGAATATAAGTGATAAGCGTTTCCGACATAACAATCAGCGACGACCAGATATAACAAATAGCAATCAATTGACAATTTATAACAGTTCTAATTATGAAAGCTTCTGGAAACAGATGAGTGAAGTTTGTTTCAAATAAAATAAGTACACATAACATAGTGAATTACATAACAAATATTGAAAACCTTTTTCTAGACAAATAAATTAATGAAAGCTAACATCTTGGTTTGTGTGTGAAAGTATTAAATTTTTCAGTAGACTGAATAACAAAGTTTTTCCCGTATATTTTAAACGCATTAAAAACGTCATGACTAATAATAATCACTGTAATGAATTGGTTAAAACATACTTTAACTAAAGCTTCTGCTAAAAAACTGAATTGATTAACATAAGCAGGAAGTGTAAGTGGACCGTAAATAGTGGATGCACCTTCATATCGTTGAAGCTGTAATTCAAAGCAAAGAAGTAGAGAAACAAAGTGATTGGATAAATTATTCATAGTTATGATTTTAGTGTTAGTAATTATCTCTGGTTAACTTTGAATTTCATGTTAGTTCGAACTTTTTCAGCAAAATATATTTGAAATCTTAAACGAACTTTGCTTCTGTTTTGATTCAATCACATATCGAAGTCATTAGAGTTTCTTTAATTAATCATTCATTTAGACAAGCGAGCAGTTTAATCGATAGTTTAATAAACAACCACCATCAAGACCAAAGTAATATTAACTTCTATTAATGGTTGATCAGTCCAAATGATGATGATGACAGTTTTACCAATCGAAAGGATACATTGTCAAAAAATAAATTAGCTATAACCATATGCTATCATATAGTCTTATTAATAAGTTAAGCTGAATAAAGCAACAGTTATTAGCTCATTTGATTTACGAAGCCTTAGGACAGATAAAACTGAAGATAATAATTTTTTAAACGTTTGTATTTTCCTGCTGTTGATCTGAAGGATTGTATGCAACTAGTCTCTGCTGAAATGTATAAATCCTGAGGATATAATCAAGATATTGTAGCTTATTCACTAGTTTTAGATAAAATAGGATTTGCATCTGAAAATAATATTCAAAACTCAGCCTTCATCTTATTTGGGAATTGTCGGTCAGATGTTAATATTCACACTGAGAAGCAAACCCAGCACATGCCGCTGATCAACTACACTGATAAATAGAAAATTTAACTTATCACAAAAAACGTCTACACCTATTTCAACAACTGATGGCTATCAGTCACTGTAGATCGATGCATAACACATTGAAATTTGATAAGAAATGAACTGCTTTTGGATTCCAATATAAACATCAACACTGATAAGCAGGAATAACAGGTTGACGAATCTCAAGTGGTATTAAATCCACATCTTAGGATGCACTGCTAGGCGGTATTCGAGTTTAATAATAAATAATTATGTTCAAAAATTAAAAACAATACAATAAACCCTATTTAAAAGAACTAAATTTTCATTATTGTTTAATATAAGAGAAATTCACTAACATTATTGATTCTCTCTTAATCTCTCTCACAATTATCACATGGAAATTTTTTTAAATAAAGAAATATTTTGTCAAAAAGTTTGAAGTACGCAGAATTAAATTAACAAAATTAAATTAAATTTTCTCCGCAAAAACAAATGAATAATGATCAATACTTTTGTTTGAATTATATATGATATTCTTAGAAGAGTTTACTCATGATTTCAAACTTCGATAAAGGTTACATTGAATGAGAAAACTTATCCGTTTATTATATATTCATATTTCTTCAAATTAGTTAGACAAATATGTAATTATAATTTCAAAAAATGTATACAAAATAGAAAACAAATGAACAATTTTCCTTTTCAACGGTTGAGATCATGAGTCAATTGAAGCTAGACCACGATGGAAAACCTGGAAGCACTAGACGGTCGTTTCGTACTATTGTGAGACTCCTTAGTGATGCGCACCCACTGGCTTCAAGAGGCATTTCCTGAAGTTCTAGTGAGAAGTAGTGACCAGTGGAGTACAACCGGGTCTGTTGTGAGATAGTAACTCACTGAAGAAAATGGTGGATGTATCGCTCAATCCCGTAAATTGGTTAAAGTTAGACATTAACACCAGTGGATGCCGGCTCAGTGGTCTAGTTGATTAAGCACCTGGCGCGAGACTGATACGTCCTGGGTTTAAATCCCGCGATGTGGGATTGTGGATGAGCACTCTTGAGGAGTCCCAGAATGGGACGAAACGGCCGTCCAGTGCTTACAGGTTTCCTATGGTGGTCCAGCTTTGATTGAATCATGATCTCAACTGATATTAATTTTCGTTTTGTCAAATTATCGTAAAATGGTGTTTATTTTCATTTAAAATTTGTTTATCTATACAATATTTATACTTGAACATTTTTAACTTATTTTGAAGAATTCTATATTGTAATAAAAAGTAATATAGTTTAATATTTTGTTAAATAATTTATACATGAGTATGAATACAAGTGTATTAAAGTAAATTGAAATATTAACTTTATGATTATTTAGGAAATTGACACCGTTTTTGTTATCTCAATTTATAATTTACAGATTGTGATCAATTCATGCTATTTCATTGTAAACTGTTATGAATTAATTAATTACTAATTTGTCCATTTATGATTTTTTTTTAATGATAATTATCTCTTTTAGATACCTAAAAAAGTGCTTTTCTACGTCCTCTTTCCAAAAAAATAAGAACAACTACATATATACCTACTAACACGTGAACATTACTCATTAGATAAACACTAAAAATGATCTGTCAATAGTTAAATTCATGAGTTGATGTAAGGTAGACCACCATTGAAGCCGTGACCAATGGAGTCTAATCCGTGTCGGGTGAAGACAGTTATCTACCACAGACAATAGATGAAGGGTTACGCGAGATCACGGATCAATTGAAGTTAGACATTAACAGCGTTGGACACATGCTCAGTCATCTACAGGTTAAGTGTTCACGCGCAAGATCGACGGTCCTCGTTTCAAATCCCGCGTACAGGATTCTAGACGCTCACTGCTGATGATTCCCGTGCTAGGACGAAACAGCCGTCTAGTGCTTCCAGATTTTCACTGGTGGTCTGGCCTACATCGAATCATGAATTCAACTAATAAAAGTACTACAATTTCCACAATCCCTCATTCTAATAATGTTAAAAAAATAGTGACAATTTATTGTTTAATATAATCTTTCAAAACAGTCTTAGATTAAAATAAATTATATAAAAGTAGAAAGACATAAAATATTGAACAATTGATTCATAGCAAATTAGTGAATTATTATTACTTGATATTCTTCAGGAGTTGCAATATAACTTGAATAAACATTTGACAGACCAGAAAGAATTACTTCATATTGTGTAGTTGAACTTGGATCATTTTGTTTAGAAGCTTTATTAGCAGCCTAAATGGGAATCCAGTCAAAAAAAGAAAGAAGCGATTTAAAGTTACTAGTATAATATCCACATAAATCTGAAAGTTCAAAAAACGATGAGCATATTGTTAACACGATAAGCCTTGACTAAGTTTTCTATCAACAATGTGAAAAATAACGCTTTAGTCATTTACTTAATAGCCTATAACGGTCAATTATAAACAACTTAAAGCTTAACACAAACATGCATTACCCCATATTTACTTGAGATGAAACTAAAAAGATAAGTAGAAAAGGAGGGGAAATAATTTAGTAACTGAAAGATAGAATAACAAGGTTCGCAGAAAAAGAATACTTAAACTCAAGTTTTTAAGTCACTGTGACCGATTTTGCGTCATATAACTCAACATTACTGTGTTCAGAGTTATAGCATTTAAGAGTTAAAGTTTAGTATATGAGCTACAAAACTAGTGTACTATAAGAAAGTATTTGCTAATATTACAACAATCACTATTTGATGTAGTTCTCAGCATCTACATTTTAATAACGAGTTTTACAACTTATAATGTATGATAATGCAACGAAGACATGGAAAAGAAATCCATAAACATCTTAATTTAAAATATGCGGTATTATTTACAGCAACATATATACAGCAGAACAATGTGATAATTCCTGATGATGCTACAATTATATCTGTCACTTCTAGTACAATAATCTCATCATTCAAATAAGATCTAAATGGAAAAGATTTCGTAAATAACAGTAGAAAATTAGCATTCAGGAAATTGGTACAAATCTATCATAAGTGAATAAATAATAATTTTAAATGTTAGTCAATAGTTTTAGTTTACGTAGTATGTGACTAGAAGTAGAACCAAGACCACGAATTTTTTATTTGAGACTAGTTAGTCAATATGTAAGTGAGTAATTGTCACCAACACTGTATCCACTTGATACTTATTCATACAAAGGAACAGTCTACATTTAGAATAACAAAATTTCATACCATCAATCTCTAAAACTTAGGTAATCTTAAGTTGACCTATTACATCTGTATTAGACTATTTCGAATGTTTCTCGAGAATTATTGACAGCAACTTATAGTTATTGTGTCAGATTATTTCAAAATACAACGTCTGTTAATGTAGTATAAAAGATGTTAAATGTATTAAATCATCACCAATACAAAGAAAAGCAACCAACTACACCAATAAAAATCTAAACTTCTCAATCTGTACGAAAACAGTTGAGTGAAAGTATTGCGAGAAACTTCATACCATTTAAACTACGCTATTTTGTTTATAAAATAGGCAGATCTTTGTCAAATAGAGATGATGATTTTATTACATTAAGATATCAATGTATTACATATGGCAACAATCAGACCTTATGTTTTAGAAACAATTTAAACGTTGATCAACTGTTTTATGCATAAAAACTTTATAACATGAACATGGGAAAAGTATACCTATTTGTGCATATTTAGTTTTTTGTACATCCTATCCTTATTATTCAATGTTGTAAAATATAAAACGTATTAGGAAGGAGTACAAATGTAACTCCGAATTTTGTTTGTATTATTAGTTAACTCAGTTAAAATTATAAGTAATTGTAAACTGTTTACAAGGATTTAGTCAGTGATTATTTATGTCAACTACTACTGCTTAGTTCATTTTTTTCAAATTTAACTATTGGTCTATAATTCAAGTATTTAGATTTAGCTGTTCATCACTGGTTGGATCAGTTGTAGATTTATTAAGAATCCATACTATAATATTTATCTATAGTCTTGTCCTTTTTCCTTACGTCAAATAATTGCTGTTTTTTTTCAGATATACAACAATAAACAGACTGTTTTTCCGCAGTTAAAACAAGTGGGGAATGCAGTGTTTCAAGGCAACATCCACTACACAGTAGTCAGCAATCATGAGATTCGTATTTTAAACTGCAAATACATAACCTAGAAATATAACGGCAAGACTATAATTTATAGACGAACCAATCAGATTTACGATAACAGGTCTTGAATTTTGGCGCTAAATTCACCTATCCATTTGGTTAAACAGAATTTTGGCATTATAACTGACGTCAGTTCGTGATGAAAACCCTATATCTGATTCCTAACCCTAACCATCAACTGTAAATATTAATCCTAATTCCTCATGCTGATTTATAGCCTTCATTTAGCAGCAGTATGTAGGTGGACACTCTCGAGGTCTTAGAATCGCTCAGTCGTCCATAAATTATAGTCTCATCGTTTGTTCTACTTCACTGCCCGATCATGACTTTACTTTTGTAGAAAACGTGTTCTTTGATAACGACATAACATTAGCCGTACAATATTTGGACTGTTTCAAAATATTTATTCATTTATTTCGTTACAAAATATAGGTGAAGTAAATACTACCAACTAAACGAATAAGCATAATCTCCATCGTCCAGTTACAAACGTAAATCCACAAGCTACATTTATTTGATAAATTTCAAGTCTATACACTCAGCTATATAAATAAGACTTTTTGAAAATCACTGTATTAAATTGAAAAAAAATTTCCCTAGTTTATTGAAATTAGTCACATTTTCAAATTTATAGAAACAATTTCAATATAATTAATCTTAAATCCGAAAAACCAAATTAATAAAAGCTCTATATTGTTAAACATTCACCAAATTTTTTTAATCATGATTTTATTAATCTCAGTCAGCTCTTCATGATGAGCTATTATCGTTCATTGACACTTTTAGTAACTGTCTTTATATTCCCAGCATGAATGAACTCCGCTGATCACGAGATTTCTCTGGGAATTTAATAATTACTAGATTCAGTATTAAACAATCCTTAAGTTAATCATTGATAAACGTTTATGTAGCGCATTTATCATTCTCTCGAGCAAGTACTCCCCTTTGAAATATCTGCTTACAATAACCACTAACAACTATTAATGTATACTTAAATGACAAAAATATTTCCATCATGCAAACATAATATTTACTTTTTAGTATTTATTCATATTAAATTACTTGTCTGTATTTGTTTTCGTAAAGTTATTTTTTATGATACCATATTGACGATTGTTTTACTGTTTTTAGTATTATTTACTTACTAGTTGTTAACTGATTTAATAAAAATTAATTAAATGCATTTATTGACATAGGTTTACATAAGAAAATAAAGTAAATATATCACTAAATGAGTACTTGTTTTATAAGTCTATAAAACGTAAGTGAATATAATTCGCACTTATTAAGATGATCAAAGTCTATTCATTCTTAAATACTGTTGATACTCGACAATGTACGCGTACAATTATACAGGCAACTAGAAAGATGCAATCAAAAAGCAATATAAATCTAGGGGTTGATAAATATTATGACACCGTTATTACAGATTATCATGAATTTATCTTTCCAACTAAATCATCCAAAACAGTTAGAACGTTATGATAAGAAAAACACATATCCACTGTAGTTTAATTTAAGGTAACGACATTTTTACAATCACTGAAGTGAAATGGTTATGTAATACCGAAGGTTGATTGAAGTAAGACTTCAACACCAATGGAGGCTAATTACGTGGTCTAGAGGTTATGCGTCTGCATGCGAGATCGAACATTATGGGTTTACCACCTAGACACAGGGTTATCAACGCGCACCGCTGAGGAATCCGATACTAGGACGAAACAGCCATCTGGTACTTTCAGATTTTCAATGATTGCCTAACTTAGGTCAGTTCGTATTTCTAAAATATATATATGGAATCAGTTTTACACACAGTGATAGATTCAAAACAAATAAACCAAATAACAAAATGAATAAATGTTAATTGAATAACGTGAATAATATGTAAACTCTATTCGAAATTAGGAACATTAGTTTTATCCTATCATAGATTTTTGGGGTTGAACTCTAACCAGTGGCTTATGCACATCCTCAAATGATTCGATATAGCCTTTTTCATAGTATTGTAGTTATCAGCAAAATCGTGGATTGAATCTTAACAATACGAAAATAAAATCATTTACAAATCATAAATATTATCTCAGTTGAACATATTATTGGCTATCAGAAATCAACAGCCTAAAAATAAGGTGTTTCTATTTGAAGTAATAAATGATGATTTTAAAGGTAATTATAAATATCAACATTAGAATTGTTCTATAATGCAATTTCTTCATAGAAACACCAATAAATAAATTTAAAAATATGGCAATAACTTTGTATTTTTTAAGTGTCATAACTAAGTAATGTTTTATCTCTCTTACTTAGAACATTCTAAGTAGAAGATTTTGAGAAACTCAAGGTATAATCTAATAGTAAGGTTACTTTTAGTATAAAGAAGAGTATGCGAAAATATGTTGGTACCAGAGAATATACGAGAAGATACAAAACTCGAAAGCGACAAGTTAGTAATTAAAGCAATTGGATTCTTAACAGTTGGTTACAACCTCGAGCACATTACCGTCTATTTTAGCTGAAATAACCCAGTAACATCAATACCTCTTATCTTAAAAGCATAGATCAAAATAACGCATACTGGTTTTACTTGATATGGAAGTTATATAAATTATTATTTAATTAGATTCAAGCAACTCAAATTTCGTGTTATTCATTGACAAACCGTTTACGAAGATTTGAGAGCAATTTCATAAAAATGAAATTTTTAAGAAAAGATCTATAATTGAAATTGAATACTCTTGATACCAATGTACTTCGCATATATAATATGTAACATTATTATTAGTAGTAATAATAATGATAATAATAAATAACATTGTAAAATGATGAGATAATCTTTGTAAGTAGAATGTATTTGCATATTCACAGAGAATGAATTTGAAGCAAATCCAACGTTTCACTTTCCAGTCAGCTACAACGTACGACCAAGCACATATATGCATCGGTACAAGTTGCCATACCGCATTAGCACAACGAGATGAACACCGTATTCATAGAAGTAGTTAATTCAATAGCGCTAATATAAAAGAAAGATTTCATAAAAGGATATAGTCCGGGAAGATAGAATCAATTTGTAGAAAGAAGGATATGAAGCGATTTTAATCTCATAGTTTAAAAGAAGACAAAAAGTGTATACACCGACGCCATAGTGGTCGATTCAGAGCCATGTCACCTAAAGTCTCCAACCATACGATAGTCACGCTGGCTCCAACTACCTAAATGGCTAAGACTAGAAGTTTTTGACTTCAAGAACTGATGCCGCGTTTTGGTTTGGCAGCCCCTAACTTTCTTCCAACAATCACCAAAACTAGTCAGCATTGCGCGTCGTGGTAATCGGTGTTCAGGCATACCTCAGAATTGCATAAACCCTGTGAAGGCTTTTTAGTCGAACACTAACAGTCGAGTCAGAGCTTATGGCGAACTGTCATCTGCTTTTGCAACCTCAAGTGGTGTCCGTCAAGGCTGTCCACTTTCTCCATTTTTGTTTAACATCATCATAGACCTATTGATGGAAATAACATTCTCGTCGACTGAATTCTCGGGTATTGATCTCCTACCAGGAGGTACACTTATCGACTTTGAATACGCAGATGATATAGTCCTGTTTGATGAAGACGCTAATACAATGCAGAGTATTTTGGTAGCACCAAGCAACAATATCAGAATGCTTGGAATACGCTTCTCTCTCTCTCTAAATGTAAGTTGTTACTTCAAGACTGGTCTGGGTCAACACCTGAACTAAGGATAGGTAGTGAAGTAGTCGAACGCGTAAGCAGATGTGTGCCTGTATTAGATCATGGTCGGAGTCCAAGCAGATGTTCCAGAACGAGCTACAATCTTCTATCGACCCTCTCCAAAAATGACTGATGACAATACGGTCTATTTGAGCAAATCGTTGGTTTGATGCAGGCGGTCGCCATATTAGACGATGTCTTTCCTTATGCTTGAGATAAGTGTTTGCTAAAAACAAACGATTGTCTGAGCAGTTGCGGCAGACGGTCATCATTATCTGTTCGCTGAGCCGAAATACTAAAATACCCACCTAAACCTCTTTCCGTCTGGTTTAAGCTACCTACCAGGGCAGAAACAACGAATAGACGACGTTTGTCCCTATCCTTCCGAGTTCTTACGAAGCCGTTTAGCCGAACAGCACATAGACGAATGTTAACGAGGATCCACTCCAACACTGTTTGTTCTGCCCTCGTACATAGCACTATGACAACACCTACCAGTTCACGAGAACGAGCTATCGCGTGACCAGATACACGGAGAGTGTATCTCGTCGGCTCTCCGTTTTGGCGAGGTGAGGTCAAGTGGATAACCACACTAAGATCCTGTATGCGTGTTTCGGAGACACAGCATACATCAATTGTACCAGTTTCTAGAGTCTCAGCCAAGTAGGTTTGCTGACTGATTTGACATAGGGAGCATACGTTGAAGGCTCCAATGCGTAGTTTGGAACGAGGTTTCAGTAGACTTGGAACGGTGTTTTTCGCAATAGAATCGTTGGCCATGGTGACACTTGGGGAGGAAGCCACGAGAGTAAGTTTAGTGTTGAAGGTCAATGTAGGAGAAATAATAGGAATTGAGAAGGGAGGTTGATTATGAATACAGTGTTCTTGAGTGCTGTTAGAGGTATGAGGGCGGTTATTACTTCCCGGTCGCTCACATCGTGGAAGGATTTTTCTGGAGGTACCTGAAAAGTAAATTGGATCAAAGGTGGTCTCAGTGACCTAAGAGCATGACCGCAGAGCCCAAGGGACAACTGCTTGAGATCGATCACAGACGACCTTTTTGTGAGTACTTTTCGTGTTAGTTCCGTACTTGTTAGGACCTTAAACCGAAGATGGGAATCCATTGGATAAAGTAAGGTGTGGTGTTTTAGGACCAACATTTTACAAATACACTCTTCCTCCTTAATTTCTTACACCAACTCGGCGCCAAATATTGTGAAACTATTCGTACAAAGTTAATCGAAAGCTCTCACAAATATTTGTAGATAATTGGTTTTTTGTCTATAGGAAATTCAAATGTTCGTTGTAGTTGCAAGAGTGCTGGTTTATAATAAACATGATGTTATCGTAGAAATGATGGATAATTTTCTCATACTTTATATTATCAACCTATAATAAATTAGTTAAATTATTTATTCACTTATAAATATGTGTCACGAGTTAACCTGTCAGATATTAATTACGAATAATTATAATAATTTTTCTGTCACATAATACAGATACACATTCGTCCTCATATATATTTTTAATTAAATTAATAATAGTTACCATTACCTATCACAGCATCGATTGTAATAGTAAAGTGTAACATAAATTCAAATTGATATGAGATTTTTGTCGAAATTGTAAAATTAGAGCAAATCAACTAAATAAATGAAAATATAAATAAATGTGGATGTTGTATTATATTTAATATCAATTAATTGGAGACAATCAAGAGAAAGTCATGGATGTAGGTTAAATTTTGTTAAGTATCATATATTCCACCACGAGAATTAGAATCCTAAATATAACATCAGTTTACTCAATACTATGATTAAACTTTGCAGTGTAATGTTAACTAGTACGGAATCTATGTCAAACAAGAACTTCTATCGACTACATCCAACTAACCAACTAATTAGAATCTAAAAAGTATAACTCAAAAAAAACAACTAGTTGAATAGTAAATAGGATGCATAAGGTTTTAATTTTGTAGTTTGCAAATCCACTCAGTTAGATAGTCAAAAAATATCTAACATATTTTGTTGTTTATTTTTTGAAGATTTTTATTGTATCAATTTTAAAAAAAGGTAATTATATATATATATATATATATATATATATATATATATATATATATATATATCTTTAAATTTCTTAACTTATATAAGGTTAGGTAACCATTGTGTCTTTAGTTACAGAATGTGTTTATCAACATAATGAGCGATTGTGATAGTATCAAAATACTCTATAAGCGATTTTAATTCATAAATGAACAAAACTAGTTTCAGGTTAAAATTCACTTATCTTAAATCTATCGATTATTTTTCTTTTATTCTGTACAAATATATCATAGTGTTTAGATATATTTAGTTGATACTTTGTTTGCTTTATTAAATTATATTATGTATAGAAATCACAATAAAGCAGAGTGTCAGTTGATGTTTCACTAAGAGAAAAAAAAGAACGAGCACTAAATAAATATTTCATCATAGAATGGAAGCTTCCAGCTGTGTAAATCCACGATGGCACCAAAAGTTAAAATTAAGATCCATTTAAGCCTTATAGATTAGAAAGTCAGGACTTCATATTTCCAATGTTAATTAATTCTTCATGCAACATAAAAATCTCTTTTAGCAAGGTTGTTAATAGAATACAGTTTTAAAAAACTCAAACAAAACAAAACAACTATTCAATGATACCTAGTTTTTTTAACTGTATTTATCAACTGGTTAAATTCTGTGATGAATATTAACGAAAAAATATTTTTTAGTAAAAATACACAATATGTACCACTGTTCGTTTACAGTTATTTCTATGTTAACTAAATAAAATCATAACAATAAATAAACCATTCGATTTATAATTATTTAGTTATGAACTTTGTGTCATTCGAAATGAAAAAATAAATAAATAAATCTAAGCATAAATTTTAAAAATCTGTATCATATTTATTTTCAGATAATACAATATCACTACATTCTAACACTGAGATAATTTTATATTAATTACTACACAGTAGCCATGGTAATTGACCAGTTGTAAATGCTTATATAGTTCTTTGTTACATGTAAGTTGATCAATGGGCAACATATTATGGTGATCATATCTCTAGCCTAATGACTCGGTAATAATTGCTGGGATTAATCATTAACGATATTGTAATTCAAGATGAATAAATAAAAAAAACTCTGTTCAATATGATTAAAGAATTATGAATGTCAACAATCGATTTTTTCTTGTCTCTAAGTAAGGTCAAATCGTGATAAATCCTAGAATTCAAACTACTATGCTCTCATGGAAAACACTTATCAACTACTCGCTTGTTGATTAACATCTAAATGAATTCGAAAATTTTAGGTAAAGAATTATACACAATCTAAATATGTAATGTAACATTGGTGTAAAGCATTCGATTTCAATTATGCTATTTAATTTGGTTATTTGAACATAAAGAAGCTTCCTTCACTAAAGGTTAAGTGCACTTCACAAGTAATCATTCAATCAGGAGATAAGTTGACGTCATAAACAGTGCGTCTTTATGATCAATATATAAATAGAATTACTTCAATCACTGCTTCACGAATACGTCTTCCAGACATTGTGGTAAATTCACCAGGTAAGGCAACAATTAAAAGAGATCCAATCGATACAATTTGAGTTTCAACAATAGACGGTTGCCAAGGATGAGGAGTATTCATCTACAAAGCATAATAAAAAAGTTCAGTTGTAAATTTCACAAGGTCTAAGAACATAGTTTACAGGGTAAACAGATTTTAATATGTAGTATATTAATATGTTGATGTTTAGAGAGACAAAAAAGTAATTTCAAGATAGCATTTCGAAATTCTAATACTATTATTATCACTATTATTACTACTATTTTTATTAAAGCTTATAAGTCAGAAACGTCAACAACCTTAGAGTGACTTTCATAAATTCAAACAATTAAAATCTTTTCCAACAGTACTGAAATGCTTTCAAACCAACAGTTTATTCATCTTGGCAGAGTAAAACACTTATTGCTATAATTCATATAATATAATTCCTTTACAAATACTGATGACTTAATATAAAAAATGAGTTAAGAAATCTTGTAGCATTTTGTGTAGACTACGCTACAAAGCGTCTCACTTTCACTAATTAACCAAACATTTAGCCTTGTTCTTATCTTCTAATAATAGGAAGAGGCGCTGGAAGTGGATAGGATATACAATACGGAAATCACCAAACTGCATCGCGAGGTGAGCCCTAACTCGGAATCCTGAAGGGAAACGGAGAAGAAGAAGAAAAAGACGAAGATGAAGAGGAAGAAGAAGGCTAAATAACACACTTTGCTAGGAATCGAAATCAGATATCTGAAGAGTGAATGGAAACTAGAAACAACTGAAAAGGACAGTGTTGTATGGAGAATGCCGATGGGTGGCCTTTGCACCTTCACGATGAGCAACAGGCGTAAGTAAGTAAGTAATATAAGATTTGAACAACACATATAAGCGGACAATTGTTTTCAATCAGATTGTCATCAGGCTTTACTCTAATATACATGAATATTTATACGAAAATTTTAAACCAATCAAGGCAATATGGGTCAATAATATTAGAGTAAAGCCTGATGACGATCTAATTGAAAATTGTTCGCTTATATGTGTTGTTCTAATTTTCACAATGGTAATCTTTAATATAAGATTTCACAAACAATCCACTTACTTCACCGGTAGCAAGAAGAACTGGTTTTGGAGCTTGACACCTAATCAATTTTTCACTTGGTGTTTTAATAAAATTTCGAACAATCCGCCAAAATAAACTACCATGTGTAATACCTTTTGAAACAGTTAGTAAAAGATTTTTAAATTATAAGTATATTAGAGATACCTTGAATAAAATCAAAATCTCCTGGACCATCAGTTGTACCAGCAGCAAAACTAAAACCCATGGCTGGTTCACATGTATGACCTGAATAATTCTTTTAATTGATTAAATATGTTAAAATTACTATAAGATCGACAGCTTACTTTATAATTTAAACTTATATTTGTCATGTCAATAAATTGATGAATAAAATTAATAGGTCCATTTATCTCAGTAGTAGCATTATTAAACAATAACTGAACGAAGGAAAGAATACGGTAAAACATAGAAAGTAATTATTTTAACAAACCCATGCTTTTTCAAATTGCTTGTATGCAATTAGTTTTGTACTTTCAAACATATCTGAACCAGGACCGTATGCAATACAATTTTGTGCCTAAATTAAATTAATTATAATTCTTGTTTATCATTGATTAGCTTACACGACCACCACAACTACTATGCACAAAATCACATGGTAAACCAGTGTCAATACAACGTGGACCAGCAGTATTTGGTGAAACATCACCTTCATTAGCTTGAGCGAATGCAGCAACAAATGGACCCTTTTGAAATATATAAATCAATAAGAAAAGCAATAAAATGAAATAAACTAGAGAAGTTATTTTTATGAAAATCAATTTATAAATTACAGTTATAAAATAGAACAGTCAGATTGTTGTACTTTTATTTTTAGCTTGGTTGTGATTGTCAGCATTACTGTGAATTAACACCTTATAAAATCAACCTTCCTAACAGTACTGGAAATAAATTTGTCTGTTATCATGTTGTTTATATCAAATATGTATAATGGTAGATGCATCCAATGATGATGGCTACTTGCATTAAACAATGATATTAATATTCAAATATTTTATATTTAATACATTAACTTAATAAATCTTAGGAAAATGTACATAACATTTTGTGATTTGATAAACATAAATCAACCGATAACATTGGTAAGTGTTTAGTTACACTATATATTTTTCCTTTGAATAAATATAGTCAATGAAAGGTAATCTTCAAAATAATTATATAAAGACGTAACAGTATAATATATGAAAAACTACAATTTTATAGAAAATCAGGTAAATATTATACATCAGTATAGGGTTGTGAAGATTGTCGAGTTTTAATTGATATCATAAATTAAATTGGTTGAAGTTAGACATTAACAACGTCGAATATCGGTTAAGTGTTCGCGCTCGAGATCAAAGGTCCTGGGTCCGAGCCCCGCATGTGGGATCGTTGATATGCACTACTGAAGAGTTCAATACTAGGATGAAATGGGTATCCAGTGCTTTCAGGTTTTCAATGGTAATCTAACATTGATCGGTTCATGATCTCAAATTTAAAATAGGTTATATGTTTATATAGGTAATTATAGGGTAATAGAATTCTAAAAAATTGAATTATTTACTATCCTTTTTTGTGCTGAAAAAGGTTTTTGGAATTATTTGATAACTGGAAGTAATTATGAGGAATTATTACTTGATAAGCGTTCTATGTTTGTGGACAATAAATAGTCGGATACATCGGTAGATCTAATGGAAACTACTCTCCATTAGAGAATCTGAACCTACCTAATCAGATAAGTTGATTTAACATCATCGTATTTAATCTTTAATGGATTGTCTGTATTTAATGAAATTATTTACACTCAGCAGTTACTTATTGATATCAATATGATCAATCTAAAGAAGAGTTATTACCAGAATTTGTTCTCTTCATTATGGTTCATATTATATCTGAGGATTCTTGAGAATAGGCCGACGATAGCGTTACATGCGTTAGAAACAGGGCACAAGATCAACCCTGGAGGTACCAAAATACTTCAGAAAGATTTTGGTGGAGTTTTGTTCTCTGAGCTGGGTGGTTTGGTCGTGGAGCTTTCATCGTTCTTTAGATAGAAGTGAAGTTTGTGCTGATGATGTCGTTCAGAAGAACGATGAAAGCTCCACGACCAAACCACCCAGCTCAGAGAACAAAACTCCACCAAAATCATCCACCTGAGCTACAAATCTTCTCCACCATCTCAATACTTCAGAAAGCTTTTGTCACACATAAAGAAAACTCGAGAGCAGAAGCTCTGTGTATATAGACTAATACAAACAGCCTGAACAGAAAGGGTGGTATTCAACTTGCAACTAATTGGTAGTTGTCCATTGAAAAGCAACTGGACCCTTTCTCTATCCAACCTGATTATTTCACATGTATCGTTATTCTGAAAAAAAATTAATCTGGGATATTTTAGCAATACAATTATGTATTCGATGATTCCTATTTTACATGCGCATCGACGATTCAAAAACGATTTCAACATTCAACTTGCGCTTTTGTTTTTATTTTCACTTCATATAAGAGTAAATTATACCTAGTATCAACTATTAATAACTCAATCTTACACATACACACAAATTTCATCCATTCATTTATTTTTACATTGTGAACTTTTCACATGACTGACCTAAGTTATCCGCCATACTGAAATCAACATCTAAATATGATTGGATAAGCATAGTAAAAATTTCATTTGATCACTGAATACTATATATTTCATTGCTAATTTTGATTTTAATTAATACCCTAAAGAAGTTTAGACAAGTTTGCTGAACGAAACGATGTAATTATTTAAATTCCAATCATTGAAATTATTTCAGATATAATTTCCACATATGTCTTCATCTAATTTTTTTGTAAATGAATTCAGATATTTTGAGTAATTGTAAAATAAATGAAAAACAAAAATTCACTTGACAACTTAATCAGCTGAATAAGAGAGAGATAAATTATCTAATTTTTTTCAAAATTTAAACCAAAAACATTATATTCTCTTTAACATTAAAAAAACAAATAAATCAAGACTTGATATGACTAGGGTTTCCTGGGTTCGGTCTATAGTTCTATCATGATTCAATACAGTCGAAATTTTATACAAGAATCAAATGGTTATCCAATGATTCTCAGTTTTTAGTGGTTATCTATCTAGGGATAGTTTATAATGCGAACAATGAAATTATAAATATCAGATTATCAGAAAACTTAAGGAAACACAGCTAACTTGTGTGAAAACAGTTTACTTTATTGTAAAAGTTTAAAGTTACTCAAATTATTTTATTAAAAAATATTGCAGAAAAAATTATACTACTAGTTAAGAAAAATATTTACTAACCTGTTAAAATAAAAATTAATATGAATAATAGTTTATTTAATATTATTTAATGGAAAATATTTAGACAGAAAAATAATCACCATGGAAATGACTAACTTTTCCTAACATTTGATTATGATTCATTTTTTGTTCAAATAAAATTGATGCTAATCCTTTATTATCACTGCTAACTAAAGTATTCGTAGAATTCATACTGACTGGATGTACAGCAAACCAATTGATCATTCCGATTGGTGTATTATTCATTGTAACAAATTTTAATAAAATCATATTTTTATCTATATTTTCATCATACCTACAAGAAAATGTTTTTTTTATAAAAAAAGATCAAAAAATAGTCTAACAATACATTGAAATGTAAAACATATGTTTCCTTTTATTTTCAGACTTCTTATACAGAACCAATGATATCCAAGAGTTAATACACATGATGGACAGAGTATCAGGGTACCCGGTTCAAAGTTTATAAACCAAGACAGAGACTGATTATCTCAGCTCTTAATAATAACAAACGTTTAGAAATTAAAATAATCTATAACCGAAAGAATAAATAACTGAATGATTCAACGTAGTTTTATTTATAACTGCTATCTTGTCATGGTGGTTGAGTTTCTCTATTATGATGACCCAGTTGAGCTGTATTGATTGGTATGTTTGTTTTTTAGACTCTATCACAACAGCCAGGTCGGTTGGGGAGTGATATCACCGAAAATAACAAAATTGTGATCAAACGGTGAATTCGTACTGCCAACTGTATTTAAATGTGACATCAATTAGCTGTTACGCCCAAGCCAAACAATATATTTCAAGATGCTATCTTCCAAAGATGGAAAGAATTTATAAGAGGTGAGCCCTGAAAATACAATGCCTCACCTTGTCCTAAGGATTTAATTTGCCGACGTTAACATATCCGAAATTATGCGAAAATAATTATGTATGACCAGCCTCAAGAAGTTGTTAACTTCCCAAGTTACCACAAACACTATCAATCGAGTTTTTTTTACAGACACCTCAAGAAGTATCTTTTTATTGTGTGACCAACCAAAAACTGAAAACAGTACTTGAAATCATCTCAGTAAAGTATGTTCTCACTATGAAAAATCAATCTGAGTTAGAGATGACATTAAAATAAGAAGTTGTAATAGGTTGATTAGTAAATGATTTTCTATTCAGTCTGAGAAACAATTTTGATTTCATTATAAACAAAACTTATGTACAAATTATGAATTAATTATGTTAAAAATTATCATAGAATTTGTTTTTACATTTAAAAAGAATAAATATCTTCAATATATTGACAAAATTTAATACCATGCAATTGGTTCCCTTTATGAATTTAAATAGAGCAAGAACAAACATTGATGCAGAATAGTATGAATTCATACTATTCTGCATTAATGTTTGTTCTTGCTCTATTTAAAATTTAATACATCACTTAAAATATGTTTTATAAACAAAAAATAAAAAAATATTTATTCTGAAAACGACATATTACTGATTTACTAATATTCAAGAGAATATGATACATTTTAGACTATATTATCTTTGGTTTCTAATGATTATCTAAGAATATTATAAGAATTCCAAACGAAGACATTTTATGTTGAATTGCAAATCAAACAAACAAATGGTAACATAAAATAAATCAATATCAGGACTTAATATGTCAATAACAAATTATTGTTTTTTTTATTTTACTGTTATTTTGGTTAATATTATCAGTTACTTAATATGTGGATAACATAATTTTTAAAGATCATATGTGATACACGTTTAACAATTTCACTGGTCAGTGAAACTTACATCAATAGAATGTATTGTATAATTCCAAAATTATTCACCTACAGTACTTTTGATATTCAATAAAAGAATTGAGTTAATATAAAGTGTAAATTGAAATAAAATAATTTGTTTAACATTATACTAACTATCGAAATTTCTTTCTTATCAGCCCTCAAACGCCCTGATACGGCCGAGAGTGGTGAGAGTCCGCTCTCCCTCGAAAAATGTTCTCACATGGCCACGCGTATATAGCTTCTGTCAGAGAAGTCCTACTCACCACCTGCTCGCAAAACGGGTGTTGTTTACAAAATTGAAAGGACGAAAAGTGAGTGTCCGGCGCTTTACCCGGGTTGGTGGACGCGGAGAGTTCACCTAGGGGATTCGGAAAACCCTGATTCTAAACCATTGGTGCACATGGGCTTCAGTATCCTGCGGGAACAAATGGCGTATGAACAAATTATTGGTCACCAGCTACCATGAGACTGAATCTCTTTACGTTACTCAACTGCCTTGTGGATCAGACCTTTAGGTCAAAGGCTCCGGGTGTGCCCCCTTAAGTAAACCATCTGCTTCGGTTTGGGCACCCGGACAGTATAACAGCCCTCACGTAAATCAAATGAGATTTGTGTGGCGCATATGTATCTGGTGCCCTCTTGTGTTCAAATAAATAAATAATAAATTTTTTTTATTACATCTAATAAACGTAGTTATTCAACGCTTTCATTGAAAATTTAAAAGTGTTTTACTGGTTTCCTATTCTTTTTCTAATAACTATATCAACTAAACTGAAATAATAAAAGAAATATATGACACTTAATAGAAATGATAATTATTAGTCATTAGTTATTAATTTTTTTATTATTTATAAATAATCTTTACTCATAAAATGTTAGGTGTTATTAAATGAGATCATCATTAACTAGGATATGAAAACCTTTCAATGATATGTCACAAAATGAGTTGAAATAAAATAAATATACTACTCAATATTTTATATTACGGAAAATCTTATTATTATTATTGCTTCATTAACTGTAACTTATACAATTGAATAAAAGCGACTTTAATATTCGATGTTTAAAAAATGATAAGAAGAAGACCGCTTCTTTTTCTTAGAAGTGTTTATGCATGTTCTTTCTTGAATAATATAAGAAATTGATATATTTATCACAGATTATCTATACTCTATGATAGAAATAAAAATCAATTAACATTTTTTAGACGCTATTATTGCCGTTTATTCATTTTGCAATAATTTAATATGTTATCAATATGGGGGGTTTGTGGAGACTGTAGTATTTTCACAGTTAAAATCACGAATTGATCTAAGTTAGACCATCATTGATAACCTGAAAGCATTGGATCGTATTTTTGGTCCTAGTATGAGACTTCTCAAAAGTGCGTGTTGAAGATGTCGCATGCGAACCGGCCATCCAATGCTTATAGATTTTCAATGTTGATCTAAATTAGGTCGAATCGTGATTTTTCAATGTCTCAAAATATTAAGTTCAAATTACTTGGAATTGATCGTTCACAGAGTAATTATACTGTATCAGTATTTCATTGCATAAACCTATTATGATTTAATAAGTGGCTTCATTGTCGCTTCATCTAGCAAAGCTTAAACTGGTGAATAGTATTACCTACTCCGACATATAAAAGTGTTGGTAAGATCTAAATGAGTTGACCTTCACATCGTAAGCTACGTAAAATGATTGATTCTATGGAGATGATATGTTCTGCACGTAAGCTTATGTAGATAATGACAATCAAAACAAGCCACCTTGTTTAGTTTAAGTGTTTATCGACAGTTACCTGAAAGATAGATTTGTAACAATAACGAAGATAAGTCACAAACAAACGGACAAAAATATATCATTGAATCAATAAAAATATTATTAGGGTTTTTATTTCCCAATATTCTTCCTAAAAATTGACATTCCGTTCCGCCAGCCTTCAGTGGTGATCGAACTCTGTAAATTATAAAATATGATATGTTTACTTATCCAGCCAATCAGATTATGATATAGTTCGGTCGATAGTTAATAACTAAAATCGAAAGAGAGAAGATTCTGACCTAGTTATTTTGTTTATTATGATTAATTAAAATTATAGTACCAAGTCTAGCCCATTTATAATGAATGCAACGCATGGCTAACTAATGGAGTCTAGGCATAAACGAGAACCCGTTACACACTATAAAAGTAATGGAAACTCACCGAGCTTGTTCTTCTACTGGATTCTTTAAATAAGCCGCTGGACTACGATTGATACTAGCATTATGTAAATCTCCTTCAGCTTTTAATATTTTTCCTTCTTTCATATTAGAATAAGCTAAATCAATACTCTGAAAAAAATCCACCCGAATAAAATGTAAATACAGGCCACAAATTTCAATTGCTTTAGTTTAAAATTGCATTACATCAAATAAACAAGTAAATAAAAGTTTTCATAATATAATTTTAAAAATAATATCTTCATTTTGCTACAGTTGAGTTGTAGTCGCTAGTATTGGAACCCAGAAAGAGAATTTCGTTATATTTGGGATGAAACTAATGATCATGATAGCGATCTCACAAGTAGGGTTAGATGCATTTTAATGTTTCTAGGCCTTATATTGGGCCTTATTTCGACAATATAGTTAAAGTCATAGATGACTTCAACTATGATTCTGGTTCTAATGTCTCATTGGGTACATGAATCAGCCGACATGGAACTTATTGGGAAATGATTTTACTAAACACGATAATAAATCAACGATTCTCCTTATGATTTATATGTGGATTCGACATGTTTCTGAATATTAAAAAAACATAAATTTGCAAGTTCATTAATAATAACTGATATCCAATAAATACTATACACGTTGCTTGAGCAGTGTATGCGGTTGCAAAGTACTTGATTGCGTTGTACACAATCAATGTTGGGTGACATGGCTTAAATCCATTCACTCTTTGCTTTTCGTTAGATCTTGGATTTTAAAACTACACCTTTTTGCTTCGCGAGTTATATTTTCTATGTCTAATGTTTTATTTATCACTGATACCTTTACTACTTTTATTTTTCAAGTATTTTTGTCTTCATAATTTCATAGGTTTGAGCTGATATATCTTAACAACTTAAAACTCTAGTATAATAAAATGATGATACAATACAATACAAAAATTACTCAGTCGGTTATGTAAGAAGTGTACATTTATTTCATTTATGTTCATGGGCTCTATCAAACGTGTTACGCAAACATAATAATTATGTACATCGATTGACCACTGAGTATCAATCACTGTCATAATGACCTAGTCCTTAGTGCTAATTAAATTAAGTTGATTCAGTTGTAACGTGTTTACCAGTCTAAGCGACTTAGAACAATGTGAACTTTGCATGACTACTGGGTGACTGAGAACAATTATAAGGAACCTCTACATCGATGTTTTGTGCTAGCTGGCATGTGTTAGTAAAACACACCTGCATTCATAAAAGAAGTAATATTCCCTGTGCGAGTTGAATCCATGGGGAGCATCACTCTCAACGAAACTACAGATATCTCATACTGATGGAAATCAACAAGCACGAAGCCTAACTCTACCTAGGCTTTTTGACGACTGTCTTCAATTAACTTAAGTAATTATCCTCATCGATTAATTGATAAGACATTATTGTATCAGACGTTTAAAGATAGCTCTTAAAAAGATATTTGTTTGTAAGGCATTTACTCACTGAAGGCAATGATGGACGGTGGCGCAGTATCTTGGATTGGTTGAAGTTAGACATTAACACCGTTGGATGCTGGCTCAGTGGTCTACAGGTTCAGCGTTCGCGCGTGAGATCGAAAGTCCTGAATTTGAGTCTCGCGTGCGGGATCGTGGATGCGCACTGCTGAGTCCCATACTAGAACGAAACGACCGTCCATTGATTCCAGGTTTACAATGGTGGTCTAGCTTTAATCGGCTCACTAATTCAACCATTAACTTACTACAATCTCCACAACCCCCTACATATGATTAAAGATAAAAGTATTTTTTATATACCTTAACAATTCCTTCAACTAATGGTTGGAATGTTTCAGGAACGTATCCAAGAGACGTTAATGAATATAGAACATATTGCAAATAACCAGCAGGACCGGAATGAGTATGTGTTGCACTAATTAAAACATTTTGATGTGTAAATAACCCATTATCGTATCGACTTTTCAAATTATCAATGACCTAAAATCGATATTTTTTGTTTGAGAAAGAGACAAATGATTCATTGAAATGGTTAGAATCAATGCGAAAATAAACGGACAGAATAAAAAGTACGAAATGTAAAAACGATTTTCATCATCAATTAGTGCTAAGTGAGTCCCTATGGAAAATTAGTGAATACTGAACGGTATCATTATCTTGATTTGAAAATTCAACACAGTGACCCTTCCTCTTACAGAATCGAACTAATAGCTAACATATCTTACTTAGAGCATGATACCATTCAGTTGCTCAGTCAAAACTCAATGATTTATGTTTTCAACTTCAATTCACTTGCAGTACATTCGGATCCTTTATTCAATTGTATCGGTGACTTCACTTGTGATTCTATAACTTTCTAGGTTACAGCATAATCTGGAACTTTTATTCATGATTGAAATTACTAACCCAGAAACTCGAAGTAAATAAGTGACGGATTGTAGGGCATAGTATTATTTTAAAAAATAAAGTTCTATAATTTGAGAATGATCTACTACAGATAATATTGTGGTTTTATACACAGTTCAAAAATTTAATATTTAAATGAGTGTTGATAATTAAATAAATGATAATGAACTGATTTGAATATTATTTTTTTAATGACAACTTTCCGATAATCGCTTACAATTTCATTACTATGTTGTATGTAGTGAATGTATTTCGAAAATTACTTATATTGCAATGTTAGCATTTATAAAGTTTGAAGATTTAAAAAGGATCTATATCTCCGAGGAACCGGTATGGAGTATCTGTTCATTGGGGGAACATACGTCAAAATATTAAGTGATCCAACCAACAAAGCAATAAATAGTAAGGAAATATGTATTTATTCTAAATGAGAAAGATATAGGGCGGCCTGCTTGAGCATCTGGGCTACCTGTTCCTGCCATCTAGATATTTCAACAAGTTATCTATTTTTGTTTGTTTTAATATATCATTATGTTTATTAATCGCATAACCTATTCTGCTGCGTTTCTGAAAAGTGTACAACCTTTCGTTGTCACAGTTACAAAAAACTCAATAAGAGCCAACGTGGTTGCTGGCAATATACAGCGAAGAGAATGCACATTATTCAGATGTTCATTTACTGAACTGCCAACATCTAACTGGCGATCACTCAATATTTATCGCCAGGACCGACCAAGAAGAAAGAAACGGAAACTTGTTGAAATACTTTACGCTGAGAATTCTATATTGTACCAAAAATATAATATTGAATAAAGCTGATAATAATAATAATAATCACATCTCAATCTAAAATATAACACGGTAGAAATAGGTCGATTATATTGGAAATTCCTAGGAGGTCCCAAAACTAATGATATAGAACTTTAAAAATAACTAGACAGTAAACTAGACCAAAAAACTTTTAATTTTTTGTTGTATAGCAACAAGTAAGATGCCCTATGGTTTACAGCGCGAAAGGAGTCTAGTTAGACAATCAGTGAAAACCAGAGAGATTTGAATGGCTGTCTCATGCTGGTATGAAACTCTACAGCGGTGTGAACCCATGGTTCCACCAGGCATCCAACCTAGGACTTTCAAGCTGATGGGTGGCCTTTGCACCTTTACGAGGAGTAACAGGCGTAAGTAACTAGGAGCAGTTCGTGAAGCACAATATGAAATTCAACAATTGTCACAACCTCCTTAAGTTAAAAATGCTCTAGATTATTTTCTACAATATTAAGATTATCATAATAATGCCGAAGAAGCATTTTTGCATAATTCTCCAATTACTAAAGCAAAAAAAACAAAATTAATCATTTGAAGAAAGCATACAGGATAGGATTAAGAATACTATGAAAATTAAATTTAAATGAATTTATTTTTCTCATCTTTATTTATCCAAAAAGTGATCCATTGACCGAGAAAATTAACTATATTTTCAATCTAAGTGACTAAACATTCGATAAACTCAAAAGAATATAATAATGTGAATTCATTTGATTTTGTTAGATTGTCATTATAGTTACTTACAAATGGAAGTACCAATGTAATGAAGAACAGTTTTACATTAACAAATTATCTAATCTAAATTTGGTATTTACATAAAACAGATTGTAAATAGTTAATTCATACTTAACGAAATAAAAAACGGTCCAGATTACTCTATTCAAACCATGCTATTCTATAAAAATTAACAAAGGGAATCTAGTTTACTGGTCAACATTGTAAAATTATGTTTTTGACTTAAAATTGTTATAATCCATTATTTGAGAGAAATTTTTGACTATAACCGTTTCAAATCAATATAAACAAATGATTTTTTATAATATTTGGTACATGACTAGTTGTAGAAACTAAGAAATCTTTTTGAATCCTATATAAAACTCACTATCGAAATGTGCTTTCATTCCAGTGTTGATATTTATAGTGAAATTTATCTTTAGCATCTTTTGCTTCGAATGCTAACGCGCTGTCTATAAAACTATTATGTCTACTACTTTGTTCTATAGGTTCTAAATATCAGCAAAAGGTTCGAAAACAAGCTTTTAAAATTTGAGCCAAATTAATCACAATGTATTGATTTCCAACATTCATTATTTTTTTATAAAATTTATTATATATACAGACATACTTTAATTTTAACGGCTTGTGATACCATACCAGCATCTATTATAACAATGACAATTGGTTGTGAACTAGAATTCTCTTGAATAATAAATGCACGACTAAATAATCTTAAATGAAGTCCATTATCATTTTGTTTGATATTACCATAGCCCATCTAAAAAAAGGAAGGTAAATAGAAGAGAAATATTAGTAATAATCACAGTAATAATAATGATAACCATAATAATAAATGAAATAGCTTTCAGATATGATAGATGACCCAGTAGCATTTAAATCTACATTGTATTCTTGATTCTGTCGAAGTTATTATGTAAACGAACTATACAATAGATGAAATTATCTTCTAACTTCATACACCTATATTCTCAGAATTTTCATTAAACTCATTAATGATTTTTTTAAAAATAAATAGTGTTTTCTATTAAAACAAAGACATATTTGATTATAAAAGATTATAAATATAGTTCATATTTGATAAAAAGAAAAGAGAGAGAAGTAACAATCATAGAATATGCTTATAAAGTTAAGAGTAATTGATTGTGATCAGTAACAAGCTGATGATTGGATTGTGGTAAACTTGTTTTTAAATAAAAGACGATATAATGATCTAGAAACAAGTGAAAACAAAATTCTATAAATTTCTCTTTATACGAATATCCAAGGCTATCTTCTTTGTATTACTATCATTATATCATTAAAGAACAATATAATTCGTGATAATTAATTAAGCTTGTATTTTAAGTGAAAGAGGAAATTATTGAAACATTGCTTTTAATATAGTATATCACTCAATATCTATTTTTAATAGCATGGAATTCGCAATCTGCGAATCAGGAAGCACAAGATGATTGTGATTTCATAGTATGGGACTCTTCCGTAGTGGTTATCTACTACTTCGTTAGGGGATCAAAAATGGAAATTTTGGGTTCTGATTTCGATCCGGATCAATGAGTTAACCATAAACTTGGTTCTGTAACTCAATAATGTCATTAAAACAGTGAATTGTTAACGACTGAATGATATCAGTATTTTACTACTGCCATGACTGTAATGTACATATTCTTCAATTTAAATAAATGATTCGTATAAGTAGATGACTGTCCAGGGTCTCATACACTGCTTAAATTTGAACATTCAGACGTTATCTGTGGATTTAGTCACTCTTTTTAAGCCTAGAAAATCTCCACAGATAATGGTTAAACTATAGACTGAATGGGTTATTACTGTAAAACGCTAAACATCCGATTAATATTCAGTAAATTCACAGTACTGAGCTGCTTGTATCACTAAATCTGATCTAATCTAGAATCTAGAGAGATTAGTACACATGAATCACAAACAATTTAGAGATATATGTTCAGTGTTTTCTTGTTTCTAACAACGCTGAAGCCGATATCAATTTTAGGCTAAAAATCGTCCTTGAAATGATTGAATTTTCCTTGAACGGACTTATCGGGATTTCATCAATTTATCAAAATGATTTTAACCTCTCAACTTTTTTATTTTACTCATTTCAAAAAGACAAATACAGCTTATATTAGAAATATAATATGATTTATAATAAACTCGGATGATAATAAAGTGCCAATTAATCTATTCTTACCATATTGATATCGGTTATTGGGCCAGTTATGTCATATATTCCGGCTCCAATTAAATAACCATAGATATGTGGTGAAAATAAGAATGACCAGAATATAGAAACGAATGATAAGTAAATATTGAAAGATTCACAAATCACCATTTTAATAAATCGCTGAAAATTAAAGATACAAATTCAAACGGAAATCGTCTAATATATATAATAGTAAATCCAGAGTACTCTAAGCTATCATGTGTTTCTACATTTATTGGTTGGACACATTGACAAGAATAATTTGTGTGTATAAGACGCTCTGAATCAGTGATAACATATTTCACACAAATTATCTTAGAAATAATCATCTGGAAGCAAACGAATTCATTTTTCCTCTGCTTAAAACATCATCATTAGCTTTTTTCACTATTTTGTTTCAAAGTTCAATTTCAAATCATTTTTTTCTTGACGAAGTTGTTTTTCTAAATATATTTGTGCAAGTTACCGTACAGAATTTTTTTAAGTGGAAATCAATGGATTATATGGTAAAGAAAAATAGGAAAACCAAATAATAATAATATATTTATTGTTATAAACTAAAGAAGCATTGTAAATTAGGAAATTCATGGACAATTAATGTCAATTTTTGAGAAAGACCTATTTTTTAAACTAGACGAAACCCTCTAACTCAAACTAACACCAAAGTAATTAGTTTTATGTTCACCATCAACTAATTTCGAGAGTTTCACAAAATTCTAAAGTAAATGTGATCGGTTAGGTTGATCACTGTTGACAATGAAACAATAAAATGAATATAACTAAGGTATAAAACCCAACTTGAGTCGTATGAACCACTGGATCTCGTTTCAGTCCCATCCTTACTATAGAAAATGATGATCTGGTGTTTAAAGTCGTATATGAGTTTGTGGATGTGCAGAGTTCACCAGTCTTGATTTGTAATAAAATAGTCTTAGACTACTTGCTTATGTTCTGATAATCTTTCACAGAACTTCTACGATGAACAAAATAATTGAAGTAATTATTTTAAAATCTAAATTCACATCTCATTTCCAAGATTATTAATTAACTAGGCATTACAAAAATACTTTATATTACTAAACTATGCTTTGCATTCAGTAACTACTTAAATCTGAAATATTTTTCGTTGAGAAACAGCATCATTAAACGGCTTTCTTCACAACATAGTCTGGAATTATAAAAAATAATTACTTTACAATGGCCTTACAGAAAAAAATACAATAGTTTATTTTGAAACGTCTAGTGAAACAAATTAACTTGTTATTATCGGTTAATAAACTTATTATTTACTCATATTAATAATGATAAATGTAGAATAGACATACATCCGAATTTCGTGTAAAAATAATATCCTCTTTCAAAAATAATGCATCAAAGTAACTATTATTAGTAGAGAAACAATATTTCGTACTTATTGTTCACCTAATCTTGCTGATAATAATTCAACATTGTCTTTGACCTTGCTACCAATAACTATGAAATGCTTATAATCTTTGTCTGGCAACAACTGACAGTGCACAAAATCTTGCAAATACGAAAATACACATAAATTTAATTAACCACCTTGTTCAGGCCTTGATACATTTTGAACTATATAGCTAATAATAATACTTAATGAGAAGTATTAGACTCAAACGAAACAGTCATTCAGTTTCTATAGGTTTGGAATAGTGATACAAATCTAATTTCATATTGAAAGCATCAGTAATTTAGTTTGAAGCTCCCAAATCTAATGACGTAAACAACGTGAAAGCTACAGCAATTAAGTTTTTTTAATAGCCCTATGATATCCGCAGTTCGTGGTAGAAAATCCTAAAGTGCATAACGTAGTGAAAAGTTAGAAAACACGATTGAAGCAACTCGTTTGGGTATGAAAAACTACCTATGCCTTAAAAACGTTCCTGTGGATCAAAAACCACACGATTATTTTCAAGTATCTAAAAACAGGATGAAAAACGTAAGTACAAGAAAATGACAGCACTCAGCCAACTAATAACAGATGATTGTAAAAACATTTATACCGGACTATTGATATTGATAAGCGTATGATGTTTCTAAACATTCAAACATATTTCACATTCTAAAAAGTTGCGAATTCATGTAGCATTTACATCAAAATAATTTTTTAGATATCTTGTTATGCTCATTTATATCACTATAACATCTTATCACGAAACAGACTACAGATCTAATGAATGTTTAAAAAAGAAGTGGACTTAATTGCTTTGAGTGAAGATGAGGCATCCACAGAAAGTTCTGTCCCCTGTACATAATGACTTAAATTATATTGCTATCGAACTAAGTACATCAATTTACTGCATAAGGCTACCAACTAATAATTCATGAACCATTTTTTTATTATATCAAAGTTAACAAAGTACGGTTACATCCAAACTCTCCGTAGTATTGTTCAGAGGATATGATTCAATCTGATTTTTAAAATCAATACTAGGATATCACGCATTCCCTCTCATGCATTTTTTTCTAGTCTGATGGGACGAAACTTTATTTTGATCAAAAATGTTTCTCATTTCTGCTAACTCTGACGGATAGAATACAAACAAATAATAAAATTTTATTTAGAATGCTAATTTTTCCTCTATATGCCGCGTTTGTTAATTTGAAAGGATTTTCAGCAATACATCTAACTGTCGAGACACTGAAAAGAAGAGGAATACCATGCTGTATACCGTTTTTGTCCATAAAATAACACATGGATCGTAAGGAATTGTTTATTGAACACGCTACCTGGAGAAAAGATAAAACTGCATTTTTAAAGCTAACGCTGAACCTAATTACAACAATTGCAAATACGAAATAGCATAAGGAGAAGTAAACGTTGCCTAGGTGATAAGAATGATTTGATAGACAACATCTTTTTGATGAGTCACTCTAAATCAAATGATTTTTCTCCGCTCGCCTCCCAGTGTCAAGGTACGCCATGGGGTCTTGGTAGCCTATGAAAAAAGTAACTTATACATCTGGCCGCACTAGTCTTAGTACATTTGACAGTTACATGTAGGTTACTAGATTTATGTAGAAATGAATGAATTAGTCCCAAAGTAGTAAGATTGTCAGGACCAGGAACCATCATGTTACAAAGATGTCAAGTGTTCGGTCGCAATATGGAGACTGTAAAGTAAGAATGTAGGTTAAAAGAGCCACATGAGTTCAAGATTGAAAATCAAGAAACAATTGTTTGAACAGAGATCTTCATTCATCCATGGGTATAAGGATTTACAGGAAATAAATCAACTGCAGCAGATATAAAATTTATATTTGGATAATTCTAAAAAACTCACATACACCAAGATACAAAATAAGTTAAAATAAAGAGTTGAAAGATGATTTTACATGGTGTCAAAAGGTATATGAATATATATATTTCGACAAGAAAATTCCAGCCGAATGATGGTAATCCGTGGGTGAATTAATGGCCATAGAGCTTTTTCCTCAACACATGTGATGCAGAAGTTTTATTAATGTTCCAAGTTAGTCACATAGAGACACTAAACTAAAAATACCGAGCAATATATATAACCTAGGTTATATATATTGTAACTCAAAATGTCAGCTGACATTTTGAGTTACTTTGAGTTATCTTGACACATGTCAAGACGCTGAAGATATCAATAAAATGAACACATCTAACTTACATGAGGTGAGACCGAGATTTTAGCAGTCAATGAGGCTTTATTAAAATCCAGAATAAATCATGATATATGTGCATACTAAGTAATCGAAAAACCGCGGGTTACTAATAGTTCAAGTAACAGACAGTAATGATGAAATTAAAAAAATTTAAGATTCAATTTAACAATAAATCCAAATGTATGCTCTTTCATAATTTTGTGAGTATCTCAGTTTTTTATCTTCATTATCCATTTGCGTACATAAGGGACACTTGAATTAAGGTAACATATCCTCAATATTTTACAAAATTCGAATCATATGTTCTATTTCACTTCCTCACCTCATAGATCGAAACAAGTTTTATCGAAAGCTTATTAAATTGCTAAATGGCTTCATCTATTACCTCCTTCACTTTGCTCAAAACAAGATGAGAATTTAATGGGAAAACAGTCTTCCTTTTATGATGATATCCTTTGTGCTTTTTTACCGGCTATTACTTATTTATTTTAGTGTCAGTACACACATCTCATTTTATCTATAGAAGGGGTGAGATCAGTAGTTGGAATAGGCTTTTGTTCAGATAGTGTAATAGGACAGTCGAAGGGCAAGTTTCCCTTTTTCAAACACAAAGCAATCAACATTCAGTATAGTAACACAATACTTACTGAAGATAAGGAAATAAATAAATAAATACGTGAGTTTTGTTCTGACACTACTAAGATGATTTGTATCAACTTTTTTTAGTAGTGGAATCACATGCCTTTATTCGTTCCATCATGTCCAATTTCCAAACGCTACACATCACAACGTTATTCACGACAAATAAAGACTTACTAAATGCTAGTTGTTACACTGCTATCACTATAATGAGACAATGAAGATAGATCCCGAAGTTCCGTGTCATGATCATGTCATGCCCAACATCATTTTATATTCATTTTCTAAGTTAAAATGCCTGGGTTGCCTAAACAAAACTACTCTTGACAAACAAGGAAGATAGTCCAGCTATCGGATTAGAGTGAAAAGACAATGAGTTTACCGTCCTTCTTTATTATTATTACTAATGGCTTTATTCAGTATTATATTTTGGTACAATATAGAATTCTCAGCACAGGGTATTTCAACAAGTTACATAAGCAAAAAAAGACAGTGACAAAGAAAAAAAAGACTTAAAAAAACGAAAAACTCTACAACTTTTCAAATTAAAGACATGTTAGGAATGCAAGTTATTGACTAGGTTAACTCTAACAACCTGTTCGTCACAGAGTATATTTGCTAGGTAAGGTATTGTAGAACTTTTATGATTTTCCTTGCGTGCATGGAATTTAATGTAATTACGTCTCGTTCTACCAGAAGATATACAAGGAGAAATATATGAGTGAAGGGGATGGCTAGTATCTGATAAAATGACACCTGCCAGGAGTTTGCATGATTTTAAATGTCTATCCACAACCATATTAATTATGACCTCGAAAGATTCACCACACACCTTGCTA